CTTACCCATGGTGCTTCGCTGGCGCGCTTCGCGCGCTGAAGCTCCGCTATAATTTATTCTTTCTCAACCAGCATCCTCAAACCATCATACAGTTTCACCATGGAACCACGAGGAGTCACATTTAATCCAGTGAATAAGAACACTATTTCAAACATAAGAATATATATAAACGATGATAAAAGAAGACAGGTAAATCTTAATGGTGCGGATACAGCTTTCAGCTTACTGTTGAAAAGAATTATGTAATATATTATTATGAAACCATATGATTTTAAATGAATTTATCACCCTGAAATGGGCAAATTTGTGTATAAGCGCAAAGGATCAGGTATAATTGTTGACAATATATTCAAACCGATAAGGGCTTTGGCATCAACTGTTGCTAAACCATTGATGAAAAAAGCAATAACATCTGGAGTAGAACACACTGGTGAACGTCTGGGTAAAAAAGCAGCAGAAAAATCAGGTGATCTGATAATGAGGAGATTGGGAAATATGAGACAAAAAACACCAACTAGATTAAAATCTTCTCTTCCAACTGTTCAAGAAGAAAGTACTGATATGATATTGAATCGATTAATATCAAGACAAGGATTAAAACGCTGATTTTTATTTAAACTAATATCATAATGGCTTTTCGATCAAGTGGAATGTTACAACGAAATGAACCGGTCAGAAACCAGTTAGACGATGCAATCATAGCACCAGTAAATGGTCAACATCAAGACAAAAACGGATACAAATTTACAATCAACGATAGATCAGCGTTTTATGATTGGTATAATGCGTATTTTGAAATTCAATTTCAAGTACAAAAACTCGCTGATGGAGGAGCTTATGCTGGAGGTGATAGAATTACAGTCGTCAATGGCTCACACTCTTTCATAAATCATCTTATGATAAAATCTGCTGGCAAAATTGTTTACGATACAGATAATCTCCACAAGGTTATTTTTGTTAAAAATCTGTTGGAATATTCCGATGATTTCAGCAGATCAGTTGAAAAAAACAGTCTTTGGTATCTGGACACCAACCATCAGATTGCTAATGCTAATCAGAATGCAGGATTTGAAGCAAGACGAACTTTAACAGTGGGAAATGCTGATGTCAATGTTATTATTTCTCTGAACAGATACAGTTTCTTCTATAGATAGATAGATAGATAGATAGATAGTCTATATGACAATTTCGTCAGCTCATTTTTGAAAGAAACCAAATGGTCCTGTCTTAGGACAATGTATCAAATGTCTGCTCGTTCGCAAGCAAGTAGTTTTTATCAAATATCAGCAAGTGTGGATAATGTGAAACATATTTTTGTTTATCTCTAACGAGCAAAAACCAATGTCGTGGCAGAAAATCCTTACTTATTTGATACGTTTAAAATGAATGCTGCTGATGTTAATAGTTATCTGACAACATGCAGATTAGAATATGGAAATGGTATTTTTTATCCTGAAACTGAGTATGATACGGAAAGTAAGGTGAGAATTTTCAACGATCTCATGTCTTATGCACAACGAAAAAACGATTACAATACTGGAACACAACTGAATCTGGCTAATTTTAATAGTCTTTATGGAATGATATATTTTGATTTAACAAACCAAGCAGAAAAAGTTACAAGAGATCCCAAACAATTAATTTTCAGATACAAAATAAATGCCGCTCCAGCAGCTGCATTCAATGTTCACGCAATTGTGTTTTATGAAGAGATGGTTGTGATTAACAAAGTGGGAAATGAGTTAGTTATCGTGTAATTTTATGTAACATACATAATATATGACGCAATTATTTGAAATTAAAGTGAAATTATCACCAAATCAGAAAAAAGGAATCTTGCTAGTGCATTTCATAAGCGTGAAACCATTGTTCTCAGGCTTTCAGAAGATGCACTAACAGGAAATGACACTTTGTACTTTCCACAGAATGTTGCCAAAAGATTAAAAAAGAATAAACAGGTGAATAAAGGAATGGACATCAAACTGGCTAAGACTAATATAAGAAACCAGGTTGAAGGCAATCTGTTGACAAGCATATTAAGTTTAGGTCGTACTTTTACACCTCAAATAGCAAAAACACTTGGACTATCTGCTCTGGCTGGATTAGCTTCAGAAGGTGCTTCCCAAGTTGTAAAATAGGTAACGGGAAGAGGCCAAACAGGTGGTTTCATGATTCCACAAAACTAAATCAATCAGTTGATAGCTTATAAACATCTTTTGGCTGAAAAACAGAAGCAAGATATTGTTAACGCTTTACAATCGGGTGGAAATCTTACGATAAGACCAACAAGAGTTCAATCAGGTGGATTTCTTGGTAGTTTGCTTACATCAATAGGTGTTCCAATAGCTGTTGATTTAGTTAGTAAACTTATCAAGGGTAAGGGCGCTCCACAAATGGGAGCACCACCATTACCAAAATCAAAAGGTGGTTCCGCGCCACAGATTGGTATGTATCAACCACCACCACCAATCATTGGTACTTGGGATAAAACAATGGGTTATGAAGCAAAAAAAAAAAGATCAGGAAAGGGACTATTATTAGGAAAAAAGAGCCCGTTCAATTCAATTCCTTTGATAGGAGGAATATTAAAAAAACCAAGTTTCAGAAGAATATTCCAATGAGTAACCATGATTTAATAGAATGGTGCAAGTATCTCGGAATACCAATCAATGAGGTTTTATCGAGAGATCAATCAGTACCTCATAATCATAAGCAAGCATTATTTATTTACAATCTTGAACCTTCATATATGAGTGGATCTCATTGGGTCATAACATATGTTAAGGATAAAAAAAACCTAACTTTATTGCACCAAAATAATCAAATCCAAAATCTCATGACAACTACTTGCGGTTACTTTTGTTTGTACTGTTTAAACGAGATGAATAAAGGGAAATCATACTCTGATCTGTTGAAAGTATTCGATATTCATGATACAATGAAGAATGAGAGATTTAAAATCTTAAAAAGTTGTTGTCACTGACTTAAAAATCTTAAAATAGACGTTTCGGCTAAAATACTATAGCCTTCTTCAGTGATGAAATGAATGTTAACGGTCTCAAAGTTCTTGCAATTTAAAGAGATTCCTTGAAAATATGGCAAAGTAACAAAGCCGTAAATGTCGACGTAAATGTTGCTCATAAACCCGTCAAGACGGTTGGTTCGATCCTGAAGAAACCGAAGGACAAATTCGGTCAAGACCTGTCAACTGGTGTCGTGTATAAAATCAATTGTAAAAACTGTGAAAAACTTTACATCGGTCAAACATCCAGAGCACTGAGATCCAGAACAAAAGAACACAAAAGAGCCGTCCTCACAT